GCAAGTTGTAAACCAGTAATTGGTCGTTTAAGACAAATTGGATGATTCCACCCACCCAATTGGACTCTTGTCGGTTATTAGGGACCATGGTAAACATTTCGACAATTTTTATTTACGGGCGAAAAAAGTCAAAAAAAATAAAAAATTGAAGGCTAAAATCCAGGCTTTTAGAAAAATTTTGAAAGTTTCGAGACCCGGTGTCGAAAAGAAATGAGATTGTAGGGGATACATCTCAAGGTTATATATTGCCGTTTGGATTCATAAAATGATCATTATATGTTGTCATAAATTTTTGTGGTAGACTTGAGTTAATGAAATCGGTGCAAGTTGTAAACCGGTAAATTGGTCGTTTAAAGGCAAATTGGATGGTTCCGCCCACCCAATTGGACTCACGGAGGGTATTAGGGACCATGGTAAATATTTCGGCAATTTTTAGTTCCGGGCGAAAAAAAGTCAAAATATTTTAAAATTGAAGGCTAATATCCACGCTTTTTTTTAGTAATTTTGAGGTTTCGAGGCCCGGTGTTGAAAAGACTTGAGATTTTAGGGGATACATCTGGTGGACATATAATGTCGTCTGGAACCATATATGAATATTATATGTTGTCATAAATGTTCGTGATAGGCTTGAGTTAATGAAATCGATACAAGTTGTAAATCAGCAAATTGGTCGTTTAAAGGCAAAATGGATGGTTCCACTCTCTTAATTGGACTCCCAGAGGGTATTATGGACCATGGAAAATATTTCGGTAATTTTTATTTTCGAGCGAAAAAAATTCAAAAAATTCCACACTTTTGGAGAAATTTTGGAGGTTTCAGGGCCTGATGTCAAAAAGTCTTGAAATTCTAGGTGATATATCTTTGGGGTCATATAATGCTGTTTGGAACCATATATGATCATTATTTGTTGTCATAAATGTTCGTACGTAGTAGGCTTGAGTTAAAGAAATCGGTGCAAGTTGTGAACCGGTAGATTGGTCGTATAAAGGCAAATTGGATGGTTCCACCCACCTAATTGGACATCCGGAGGGTATTAGGTACCATGGTAAACATTTCGGCAATTTTTATTTACGGGCGAAAAAATGTAAAACAATTCCAAAATTAAAATCCATGTTTTTTGAGAAATTTGGGATATTTCAAGGTCTGGTGTCAAAAAGTTTGAGATTTTTGGGGATACATCTCGAGTTCATATAATTCCATTTGGAACCATAATATATGATCATTATATGTTGTCATAAATTTTCGTAGTAGGCTTTAGTGAATTAAATCGGTGCAAGTTGTAAACCTGTAAATTGGTCGTTTAAAGGCAAATTGGATGGTTCCACCCACCCAATTGGACTCCCGAAGGGTATTAGGGACTATGGTAAGCATTTAGGCAATTTTTATTTCTGAGCGTAGAAAAGTAAAAAAAATTCCAAAATTGAAGGCTAATATCTACGCTTTTTGAGAAATTTTGGAGGTTTCGGAGCCCGGCGTCGAAAAGACTTTAGATTTTAGGGGATACATCTCGGGTTCATATAATGTCATTTGGAACCATATTTGACCATTATATGTTGTCATAAATGTTTTTGGTACGCTTTAGTTAAAGAAGTTGACGCAATTTGTAAACCGATAAATTGGTCGTTTAAAGGCAAATTGGATGGTTCCACCGACTCAATTGGAATCCCGGAGGGTGTTAGAGACCATGGTAAACATTTCGGTAATTTTTATTTACGGGCGAAAAAAATTCAAAAATTGAAGGATGTGTCCACGCATTTTTAGAATTTTTGGAGTCTTCGGGGCCCGATTTCGAAAAGTCTTGAAATTTTAGGGAATATATCTCAAGGTCATATAATGTCTTTTGGAACCATATATGATCATTATTTGTTTTCATAAATGTTCGTGGTAGGCTTAAATTAATGAAATCGGTGCATGTTATAAACCGATAAATTGGTCGTTTAAAGGCAAATTGGATGGTTCCACCCACCCAATTGGACACCCGGAGGGTATTAGGGACCATGCATGGTAAACATTTCGGCAATTTTTATATCCGGGCGAAAAAAAAAGTAAAAAAAAAGTCCAAAATTGAAGGCTAATATCCACGCTTTTGGAGAAATTTCGATTATTTTGGGGCCCGATGTCGAAAAGCATTGAGATTTTAGGGGATACATCTCGGGGTCATATAATTCCGTTTGGAACCATATATGATCATTATATGTTGTCATAAATGTTCGTGGTTTGCTTGAGTTTATGAAATCGATGCAAGTTGTAAACTGGTAAATTGGTTGTTTAAAGGCAAATTGGATGGTTCCACTCATCCAATTAGACTCCCAGAGGGAATTTGGGAGCATGGTAAACATTTAGGCAATTTTTATTTCAAGGTGAAAAAAAGTCAAAAAATTCCAAAATTAAAGGCTAATCCGTTTTTTGAGAAATTTTTTAGGTTTTGGCTATGTACTTGAACCAGACTCAATATCAAGACTTTATAATCCGTTTGGAAGATGTATTATGGTTTCAAACTAACTTTTATAACCTAAGGGAGCTCCCCATTCATCCACTTCATTTGTATAAAATTATTTTAAAAATTGACCCGAAAGCTTGGATTATAGCCTTCAAATTTGGACGATTTTTAACTTTTATGGGTCCAGAAAATAAAGAGGTTGGGATGCTTATCTTTTTTAATCCCACGATACCTCGAGACCATTTCGAAGATCGGAACACTTTTCTTTTAAACTGTCAATTTAAATAGCTATGTATGCCTTCCATATCATCTATTAAAAATTCGACACCTAATGTCGTGTATCCATAAATGGTTTAATCTTGTGTAAATGTGTAATACATGCTTGAAATTCAATTACTGGTAAACAATTTCATACTGGACAACATTAGCATATGGACGCTTTTTGGCACCTGATAATAGAATCCCGGGATTGGTGATTGACACAGTCTCTTCTTCTTTTCAATTCTTACCAATGAAATAAATTTTCGAAACACGACTTAATATCGGACTTTATTAACTTATTGAAAGACCTTAACCGACTTTTATGGCCCTAGGGCAGGACTCCCCACACATTCTAAGCAAACAGATTGTTTACTATCTTATGGGCAAGTACAAAAGCATCAATAATAAATTGAAAAAAAGTACGTAGTAAAAAAAGAAGCTTTTAGAATCATTAATTAGGGTCTGTTCCGATTGACTGAACTTAGCTGAATTGAACTGAACTGAACTTATTAATTAGTGATTTTTAACTACGGATTAGTGATATTTGATTATTTATTGATTATTTATTACTATACATATGTGTATATAAAAATTTACATATTAAAATATTTACGAAAAATATACTATATAATTATAAAATTTATGGAAAATATATTAAAAATATACTATAAAACCATTTGAACAATGAATTGTATCAATATTATTATTATTATTATTATTAATATTATTATTATTAATTATTGATTATTATTATTATTATTATTATTTATTGATTAGTATTATTATTATTGTTATTATTATTATTATTTATTGATGATTATTATTATTATTATTTATTGATTATTATTATTAGTATTATTATTTCAATTATTATTGTTATTATTATTATTATTATTATTATTTATTACTTATTGATTATTATTATTATTATTGTTAATATTATTATTATTATTGTTGTTGTTGTTGTTGTTGTTGTTGTCGTTGTAATAAGAGCTTTCAAGAATGAAATTTGGCTTTATATCATTTGCAATATCATTAGACATAAATTATGAGCTAAACTGAACTGAATTGAGCTGAACTGAACTGAACTGAATTTCAACGGAAGAGAACAAGCCCTAGTGTCAAACGTCATAACCTCATGCTCATAATTCATTACGAGTAACAACAAGCTTAAAAAAAAGACTTTCTAGATCACAAACCAAGAGGACAATGTACAATCTAAAAATTAATATAAAATTACAGAAAACATTAAAAAAATAAGAAGTAGAAGATGAAAACAAGAAAAATTTAGTGGAGAACCTCAATTAGAGAACGTGCCTACAACTCACCATTATTATGAGTACCAACCCATTAATTTGTTTGAATTAAGTTGATTGTTAGACCACATACTAATTAATTCTGAAACTTCTGCTTTCTTTCCATTATTATTTTCTGTGATTTTTTGTTTGTATCTTCCAATTTTTAACTCCCACAATTTCATGAAATAACATTTTAATTTACTAAGAGAAATTTGACATTTGCTCTAGTCGGTTATTTTTTTATACATAGCTAGATCATGTGTGTATCAAATTAATTCATTTTTAATCATGACAAATTTCGGCTAATTATCATCTAATTATTGTCTTGGACTAACTTATTCATTCGTTTTTTTAACTTTGATGGTTGTTGTATCTTGGTGAACTAATTTTATTTGATTAGCTTGATTTAAAATGCTCATTATCTATCACTTTATACAATTACTAGCTAAATGATTTAAAATTAGTTGTCAAATTGGCTTTGTCCATCATTGATTCAAATATACAATCAATCTAAGACTTGTTTTTGGACGGACCATGATGTATTATTAGAAGGTAAAATTATAAAAGTTGTAAAGCTTCTGTGTGATTTATACATAAATATAGTTTTTAAATTAGTTGTCAAATTGGCTTTGTCCATCATTGATTCAAATATCCTCATACCCATACTACAATCAATCTAAGACTTGTTTTTGGACGGACCATGATGTATTATTAGAAGGTAAAATTATAAAAGTTGTAAAGCTTCTGTGTGATTTATACATAAATATAGTTTTGCTATGAAAATTTGTTTCCTCTATTACCAAACATTATTTCACTTGTCATATTTAACTATTTTAAAATAGTTACATTACTTTCTTTCGGAGTATTCGGCAATATACTATTAACTTTTATTCATCGTACTATTATTATTTCTTTTCCCTAATAAACCTATATATATTTCACTTTTATATTATCATATAATATATCTTACATAAAAGTGATGCAATTATTTAAAAACGATGTACCTTTAAACTATGAAGGGAGAAAAGCGTAAAAGTGCCACGACTAGAAAAAACCTACTCCGTACCATGTTTCATGGGATCTAAATTCAAAACCACAACGTGATGCGTCAATAGCCTCTTGCATGAACAAGAAAGTAACAAGAGAGAGTGGACTTCAGATGAACAAACAAAAATGTTGCACCACTTTATATTATAAATCTATAATTAGATAATCAAACTAACTGTTTTAACTGTACCACTTGTATGTCATCGGCCTCTCTCATTGACCTCCCCCCATTTCTTTCTCTCTCCAAAATTGTTCATACAATTAATCAAATATAAATAAATTTATTCATTGAAAAAAAAAACCCAAAAATCAGAAACCCAAAACCCTTTTAAAAGATCTCTGTCCCCTTTAAATTTCCCTCCTCCTGAATTAATATTTTCATTGGGGAATTTCATCAAACAGGAGGAGGGCATTGCTGGGTTTTTTCGATTTTCAGATGACCAACAATAATCACAAAGAAGGTGATTCCACAAAATGGATTCTTGATAGCGTTGAAATTGATCAAATTACAGATACACCCAGAAATGAAAGCAGCAGTAGTAGCAGTAATTTTAATAATAACAATAACAACAACAATGCTCTGAAAAGTCCAAGAGGAGTGAATTTTAGTAGGATTGGTAGCAATGCCAGGAAAAGATTTGGGATACTTGGAAATGGGAATGCCAATAATGCAGCTCAACCTAAGATGGGTAGAATGCGATCAACTGCTGCTAGAGGGTTGCAGAGTTTAAGGTTTCTCGACGGTGCCACCGGAAAAGATGGTGATGCTTGGAAGCCTGTTGAGAAGAGATTTAAGACAAATGCTGTTAATGGAAGAGTTCCCAGGGATAAATTCAGTGCTGTCATTGGTAAATGTTGCTGATTTTTTGAATTTTTATGTTTTTTGGGTGTTTGACTTTGTGTTTTTGTGTGTGTGTTTGTTTATGAAATGCTGTGATTATGATTGAGTTGAATTGAATTTGTTATTGTTTTTGTATGTTTGGATTGTGAATGATTTGTTTTGAGTTGATTTTGTTTGATTTTTGTTTTTTGGGGGGAAAAAAGGAATGGGAAATTCAAAAGAATTTGCAGGGGAATTGTATGATACATTAGCTAGGAGAAGGAATTTGGATGCAACAAATGGAATTACAATTGATGAAATGAGAATGTTTTGGGAAGATATGACTAGTCAAGATATTGATGCTCGTTTGCAGATCTTCTTTGACATGTAAGCTGATCATTAATGTGTTTGATCTTCTCTGTTTTTCTCTGTTTTGCCCTGTTTTTGCTTCCTAGAATAAAGGTCAAATCTTGATGGATTTTGGTGTTTGTAGGTGTGACAAGAATGGGGATGGGAAACTATCCGAAGACGAGGTTCGCGAGGTAATTAAGTTTGATGGTTCTCTAAAGGTTTTTGATGATGAAGTTAGATGTGCTACATATATGCTTAGAATTGACTTGAAGAATTTCCTTTTTGCATTAGGTTTTAGTGTTAAGTGCCTCAGCTAATCAGCTAAATAAACTCAAGTCACAAGCAGGAAATTACGCGGCTTTGATCATGGAAGAATTAGATCCGGATCACCAAGGATTTATAGAGGTTAGTAATCCTTGAATATCATATCAGAAGAAGAATTATTTGCTGCCCATTTATGTCACCTCATTGCTTTATGTTTTTTTAAGCTTCTAATGCTGAGCTATTGTTAATATACAGTTGTGGCAACTTGAAACTTTGCTAAGAGGAATGGTGACTTCTACCGATGAAGGGACTAAGTTTAAGAGGAGCCAAACCCTAACAAAAACCATGATCCCCAAAATGTTCAGGAATCCAATATCAAAAACTGTGAATAGCACAAAAGAATTTATCTTGGATAATGGGAAGAGAATTTGGGCAGTTGGGCTATGGCTGACCATAAATGCATGCCTCTTCTATTATAAGTTCAATTATTATGAGAAGCATGCCGCCTTTCCAGTCATGGGTTATTGTGTCTGTGTTGCAAAGGGTGCTGCTGAGACTCTCAAATTCAATATGGCTCTCATCTTGCTTCCTGTTTGTAGAAGAACACTTACCCGGTTAAGGTCAACATTTCTTAGTAGAATATTTCCTTTTGATGATAATATAAATTTTCACAAGATGGTAGCTGCTGGGATTACAATTGGGACTTTTTTGCATGTTTTGATGCACTTGAGTTGTGATTTTCCAAGGCTCATTTTGTGTCCGAAAAACAAATTTATGATGTGGCTCGGTCCAAACTTTAACTTCAAGCAGCCAAATTTTCTTGATCTGGTAAGTAGTATACCAGGGATGACTGGTATCATCATGATCCTACTTATGGCTTTTGCCTTCACACTAGCAACACACTCTTTTAGAAGGAATGTTATCAAGTTGCCGTGGCCATTCCTTCATTTGGCTGGGTTCAATGCCTTCTGGTATGCACATCATCTGCTGTTTGTTGTGTATATTCTCTTGATTGTTCACGGGTATTTCCTGTTTCTCACCAAGGAGTGGTTCAATAAAACGGTATGCATTTATAATTATTTTGTGTATCTATCATCAGATGCATAATCCTTTCATCAATTTTATATACACTGATCATTTTATTTTCTTCTGAAAATCATTGCAGACATGGATGTATCTTCTGTTCCCAGTTCTGCTCTATGCTAGTGAGAGAACATTGACATCCATCCATGACCACAATCATCATGTTAACATCCTAAAGGTCTTGAAACAACTGTCTTTTATATTTCAGCTGAAACTAGGGAAACTTTGGTTTAGTCTTACCATTACAGTTTGCAGGCTGTCGTATATGAAGGAAATGTCCTGGCATTATATATGAGCAAACCACCTAATTTTAAGTACAAGAGTGGGATGTACTTGTTCGTCAAGTGTCCAGATATCTCAAGCTTTGAATGGTAACTAACAATCTGCTACTTAGCATCAATATTATGAAAAGATTCTTAAAAAGGTGGTTTTAACTCTATTTATTGATCTTCATGTTTCTAACAGGCATCCCTTCTCTATTACTTCTGCACCTGGTGATGCCTATCTGAGTGTACATATTAGAGCCTTGGGAGACTGGACTAATGCACTTAGGGATAGATTTGCAAAGGTAACATCCATTTCTTGCACCTGTATCCATTGGTTTGGTAGAATCGAGTTCAAGTGGTATGTTTGGTTGGGTGGAATGTGTGAATTTCATCTGGTATCTTACATTCAATGCCATTGCAATGAAATGCAGACCTGTGAACCTCCAGCAAGCCGTCCTGCAAAGGGAAGGCTCATGAGAATGGAAACCAAACAAATGAATGATTTCGATATACAACCACCAAGGTGAGAGAGCATAGCCTTCAGAATCATAATTTGATATATTTCTGCATGACACTTTTCATTGCATCTGCAAATTGTCAATAAACTTGGATAGTAAAGCATCTCAGGGTCGTACAGGAGATCATCTCATTCTGAAATCAATCCAAGGTCAAAGAAGAAAAAACAAATTCTGACTTTAATGTTCCTGTTCTATTGCAGCTTTCCACATATAATCATCAAAGGTCCATATGGAGCTCCAGCGCAGAATTACAAAAAGTATGACATTCTTTTGCTCATTGGACTTGGTATTGGAGCAACTCCCTTCATCAGCATCCTCAAGGATCTCTTAAATAACTTAAAAGAAAGCAGTTCAGAGGTACCATACCTGATTAAGCTGCACAACATCAATTCTTTGCACATTATTGAGAGATCTTCTAAAATCTGTTTGATTTGGTATTTTGAAACAAATGCAGGATATAGAAAGCAAAAAGGGGCCTCAAAGAGCGTATTTCTATTGGTCTACAAGAGAACAAGCCTCCTTTGATTGGTTCAAGGGGGTCATGGATGATATTGCAGAATATGATACTGATGTGAGTATTATTAGACCATGAAACCGTATTCATTACCTGTTCACATGTATATATTATATAAGAGTATTGACTAATTAACCAAATCTCTTGCATTTACTGTGAATTATGATTTACAGAATGTGATAGAAATGCATAACTACTTGACTAGTGTGTATGAAGAAGGTGATGCTAGATCAGCACTTATTCAAATGGTGCAGTCATTGCAGCATGCTAAGAATGGAGTAGATGTGGTGTCTGAAAGCCGGGTAAATATAACTTCTGTCATCAATACAGATTGATTTTCTTATTATTGATTACTCTGCAGCTGCAGCCTCTAACATGAAATATGCACAGATAAGAACACATTTTGCAAGACCTAACTGGAGGAAGGTGTTTACACAACTAGCTGCCTCACACGAATCACAGAGAATAGGTAAAAAAAAAAAAAAAAAAAAAGAGCTCAGCATCTGAAAAAATAGAATTCTTTTTAAGACCTGTAAAATATTATAAGATTTCAGAAGTTTATTGTATGATGTATAGTAAGTTGTATAATGAACACATATAGTAAGCATTGATTTTATTGTGCTGGAATACTAATGCTGAAATTTGTTGATTATGCTGCAGGTGTTTTCTATTGTGGAAGCCCGAATTTGACAAAACTGCTGAGGCAACTGTGCCAAGAATTCAGCCTTAGCAGTACCACCCGCTTCCATTTCCACAAAGAGAACTTTTAGGTGTAGCATAGATTTTGCGTGGTAAATTAAATCCAGTCTTGTAGATTATATTTTATCTTATGTTAGAATGAGTTTTGGCCCGTTTTCTTTTCTTTTCTTTCCCAATCTTTGCTTATACACATACTTGTATTTACTAACAAGAGTAACAAAAACCAAGCTTTAATTTGTTTTGTTCGGGATAGCAGGTAGATCTTGATACTAACAATATGAGCTATGCTTGATTGTTACAATATTTAAGGCCTCATCGGTTAAGGGTTTATATCCGCTCTTGCCTCAAATAAAATTAACTAACCTATGTTAGAACAATTTGGAGGATTAAAACAAGAGGGAATGAATATTTCTTATAGACACGTAGCTTAATGTTGCTTTTTTTATAATTTATTATTGCATCTCTACGTAACAAAAGAGTAAACAAGATAAAACTATTGAGACAAGAGACCAACTAATTTAGGTCGTTCAACTAAATCAATCGACGAGAAGTTTGCGAATATGTATTGTGTGTCTAACCAAGAGAAAAGTTCTAGAATCAATTCTTTCAAACAAGCAAGCAAATGACTTTTCCATCATCATCATCCTCCATTCACATTAAGAAATCATCTCTGTTTATAAAGAATAATATAAACATGTTTCCCATCAAAAGGCATGTCTTTTAAATCCAATTTAAACCGTGTCGATTAACTACAAAACTCCAAATAACATAAATGTATGATATAAGCATATTTATTACAATATGATGTAAATTCTTACTTACTAAAGTGGTTTAAATAATTGAATTAACAAAGATATGAATTGAATTAACATGCCGATACAATGTATGTAACAATGAATTGTTTCCTATCAAAAAATGTAACAATAAATTGGATGAATTACTAGTAATAATTACAACAAATCTACAACTCTTCTTACTAATTATAACATAATACTAACAATATGTAGTACAAAGTATTTCCTAAAAGAATGTGTTCAAAAAAAAAAAAAAAAAGTATTTCCTAAAAGAATAGTGACAATTTCCTTTTATTTTAACTCATCCACTCATTATACATATAAAATGTCTGTCTTGGGCAATCAAAGGTATGATCAATAACCACTTCTTGAACATTCATTACATGCGCTACCTCTTGACGCAACGCATCTCGTCCTACCCAACTATAATTTACTCTTAGATCAACGATTCTACGAGCCGTCTCTAAAGTATTGAACTCTAATTGACGTGCATGCGTACACAAAGAAAAATACAATTAGAGCTGTCAAAAGTTGACCCAACCCGAAATACCGACTCAAACCCGATTATTAACCGACCCATTTGAACCCGAAAAAATGATGACCCAAACCCGACCTGAAACCAACCCTAGACTCGAGTATGTGAGACCCGTACCCGAACATGAACTGACCTGGAGATGACTCGACTCGAATGTAACCCGTAAATTATTGACCTGAATCGAAATTGACCCAAACCCGTTTTAATAAACCCGTCAAAACCCGAATTTAACCCGACTTGCTACTAACCTATCCTGAATTCAACTCGACCCGTTCCTAACCCGACCCGAATTAACCCAACCTGTTACAAACCTGACTCGAAATCAACCAGACTTGTTATTGACCTGACCCAAATTCAACCCGACTTGTTATTGACCCGACCCGAATTTTACCAGACCTATTACTAACCCGATCTAAAAATTCAACCCGATCAGTTACTAACCCGACTCGAAATCAACACGACTTGTTATTGACCCGAACCTAAATTCAACCCAAATTGTTCTTGACCCGATTTCAAATCACCTTAAATGCAATATAGACCACCTTATTATTGTTGATCAAAGCATTTTGTCTAGGGAGACCAGGTCGGTCCAGGCCAGCAAAAGAAAGAAGCATCATCCTCAAATTTAAGAGTTAAATATAGTATATATTTGTTGTATGGTCAAAGGAGATAATTATCTTCCTAAGTTATAGACTATAGTTATCTAGTTTATTGCCATATATTATTATAGTCAAAGGAAATAATTAGCTTGATAAAAATGATAATTATCTATATATTGTTAGTTAAACCCGAATATGACCTCACTTTGAAATGACCCGACCTGATTGTAACTTGCAAATTATTGACTTTAATATAACCCGACTTGAATCCGAGAATGACCCGAATTGAAAATGACCCAACCTGATTATAACCCGCAAATTATTGACTTGAACCGAACCCGACTTGAAACCGTGAATGACCCGACTTGAAACCGTGAATGACCCGACTTGAAAATGACCCGACCTGATTATAACCCGCAAATTATTGACTTGAACTGAACCCGACTCAAACCCGACTTGATTATAACCCGCAAATTATTGACTTGAACCGAACCCGAGAATTACCTTAACCCGTGAAAAATCGAATTAAAATCGACCTATTGTTCAACCGACCTGAATGTAACCCGACCTGTTATTATAACCCGATAAGAAGTATGACCCGACTAAAGCATGACCCAACCCAAATCTAACCCGCATAGCATATGGAATTAATCCGAATTGACCCGACCCGAGTTGACCCAACCCACTCTTACCGACACTAACCCACCCCTTTACCCGAATTGACACATGTACCCGAAACCTCCAAAATTTCTAAAAAAACGTGGATATTAGTCTTCAATTTTGGAATTTTTTGAATTTTTTTCACCAGGAAATAAAAATTGCTGAAATGTTTACCATGGTCCCTAATACCCTCCGGGAGTCCAATTGGCTGGGTTGAACAATCCAATTTGCCTTTAAACGACCAATTTAACGTTGTACAACTTGCACTGATTTCATTAACACAAGCCTACCACGAACATTTATGACAACATATAATGATCATATATGGTTCTAAACGGCATTATATGACCCCGAGATGTATCTCCTAAAATCTCAATGTTATTCGACACCGCACCCCAAGACATTCGAAATTTTTCAAAAAGCGTGGATAATTAGCCTTCAATTTTGGAATTTTTTGACTTTTTTTCGCCCGGATATAAAAATTGCCGAAATGTTTACCATGGTCTCTAATACCCTCCGGGAGTCCAATTGGATGGGTGGAACCATCTAATTTGCCTTTAAACGATCAATTTACCGGTTTACAACTTGCACCGATTTCATTAATTCAAGCCTACCACGAGCATTTATGACAACAAATAATGATCATTTATGGTTCCAAACGACATTGTATGACCCCGATATGTATCCCTAAGAATTTCAAGACTTTTCGGGAGCTGGACCCGAAACCTCCAAAATTTCTAAAAAAGCATTGATATTAGTCTTCAATTTTGGAAATTTTGACTTTTTTTCGTCCAAAAATAAAAATTGCCGAAATGTTTACTATGGTCTCTAATATCCTCCTGGAGTCCAATTGGATTGGTGGAACCATCCAATTTGCCTTTAAACGTTCAATTTATCGGTTTACAATTTGCACGGATTTCATTGACTCAATCATACTACGAACATTTATGACAACATACACTACAAAAATAAAATCTTTTTAGCAACTAAGTTTGGCAACAGATTTTTAAAATGTTTCTAAATAGCAACGAATATAAATTTTTTCATTGCCTAATTAAAAGCGACATTTTATGCTTTAGTTTTTAATAAACAATGGCTACATATTTTTGATTTGTTGCTTTTTAAAACAAATTGTCTTACTAGTTGTTACTAGACGGCATCATATTTTTCTCTTGTTGCTAAATAGTAACAAACTATGACAACAAATATTTTATTTATATTGATTTAGAAACAAACAAATACAATGAATTTTTGAATTGTTTCCATTATAAACAAGTCTTGTAAATTATTGTTGCTAATTGATAACGCATTATTTTGTTTGTTGCCATTTGAAACGAGTTGTGTTACATATTGTTGTTAATTTATATGTAAGCCACTTTTTGCTGTAATGTATAAAATTATTTATTGCTAAAATGACATCAAATAGAGACGGATTTCAATTTCGTCTCTAATTTAGAGACGGATTTTTTATTTTGTCCCTAATTTGGAGACAAATTTTTCAATTTCATCTCTAATATTTTGTTCACTTATTATAAATTATATGCATAGAAGTATACAAATAGTACTTGGTATAGTTGGTAAGAGATTCACCATTTGACTTTGAGGTCGCAAGTTCGACTCCTACCAAATGCGATTCTTGAGACTGGGGATTCAAAGAGCCTTACGTGCAAAGTCGAGCCGAGTTGACCTAACCTTAGTGAGATTTCAGATTGGTAAAGGCCGAGATCGGGTTGAACCAAATTGCTAATAGGGATTGGGTTTTTGTCTCGTAGTGTTGATAGCAACCAATATTAATGATTTGTAGCTATTTTTATGAACCAACTTTAATAATTTGTTGCTATTTTTAGGAACCAACATTAATAATTTGTTGCTATTTTAGGAACTAACATTAATTATTTGTTGCTAATTTTAACAACAACCAATGGTAATCTGTTGCCAAAGTTGGCAACGAATGCACCAAAAACAACAACAATCATGGAAACTATATTTAAATGATGCAATATTGCAACAAAATTGCTTTGCAACTAGTTTCCAAAATCCCATGGCAACAAGCCTTTTAGCAACAACAAATTTTTGTTTCCAACCCGTTGCTAAATAGAGTTGGCAACGGATTTTTGGTGAATAGCAACAAATTTTAGTTGATGCTATATTGATTTTTTTTGTAGTGATGTAATGATCATATATGGTTCCAAACGGCGTTATATGAACCCGAGATATATCCCCTATAATTTAAAGGTTTTTCGACACCGGTCCCCGAAACCTCCAAAATTTTTCAAAAAGCGTGGATATTTATACTTCAATTTTAGAATTTTTTTACTTTTTTTTTCGCCCGGAAATAAAAATTGACGAAATGTTTACCATGGTCCCTTATACCCTTCGAGAGTCCAATTGGGTGGGTGGAACTATCCAATTTGCCTTTAAATGACCAATTTACCGGTTAACAACTTGCATCGATTTCATTAGCTTAAGCCTACCACAAACACTTATGACAACACATAATGATCATATATATATGATTCCAAACGGTATTATATGACCCTGAGATATATCCCCCAGAATTTCAAGACTTTTCGACACCGGGCCCCGAAACCTCAAAAATTTCTCAAAAAGTGTTGATATTAGCCTTCAAGTTTGGAAATTTTTGACTTGTTTTCGCCCGGAAATAAAAATTCCCGAAATGTTTACCATGATCCCTAATACCGTCCGGAGTCCCATTAGGTGGGTGTAACCATCCAATTTGCCTTTAAACGGCCAATTTACCGGTTTACAACTTGCACCAATTTCATTAACTCAAGCCTACCACAAACATTTATTACAACAAATAATGATCATACATGGTTCCAGACGATATTATATGACCCCAAAATGTATCCCCTATAATTTCAAGACTTTTCGACAACGGGCTCCGAAACCTCCAAAATTTCTCAAAAAGCGTGGATATTAGTCTTCAATTTTGGGATTTTTTTACTTTTTTTTCATCAGGAAATAAAAGTTGCCAAAATGTTTACTGTGGTCCCTAATATTCTCCAGGAGTCCAATTAGGTTGGTGGAACCATCCAATTTGCCTATAAACGTTCAATTTATCGGTTTACAATTTGCACGGATTTCATTAACTCAAGCATACAACGAACAATTATGACAACATATAATGATCATATACGGTCCTAAACGACATTATATGACCCCGAGATGTAACCCCTAAAATATCAAGACTTTTTCTACACTGAGCCCCGAAACCTCCAAAATTTTTCAAATAACGTGGATATTAGTCCAATTGGGTGTTGAATCATCCAATTTGCTGTTCAACAACCAATTTACCGTTTTACAACTTGCACCGATTTCATTAATTCAAGCCTACCACGAACATTTATGACAACAACTAATGATCATATATGGTTCCAAATGACATTATATGACCCCGAGATGTATCCCATATAATTTTAAGACTTTTCGACACCGGGCCCCGAAACCTTCAAAATTTCTCAAAATGCGTGGATATTAACCTTCAATTTTGGGATTTTTTTTAATCTTTTTTAGCCTGGAAATAAAAATTGCCTAAATATTTACCTTGGTCCTTAATAACCTACGGGAGTCCAATTAGGTGTGTAGAACCATCCAATTTGCTGTTAAACGACCAATTTACCGATTTACATCTTGCACCGATTTATCGGTTTACAACGGTCAATTTAATTAACTTGCACCGAATCCGACTTGAATCGAAATTGACCCTAACACGTTTTAACCCGTCAAAACCCGAATTTAACTCGACTTGTTACGAACTTGACCTGAATTCAGCCCGACCTGTTCCTAACCTGACCTGAATTTAACCTAACCTGTTACAAACCCGACCCGAAATCAACCCGACTTTTTATTGACCTGACCCAGATTCAACCCGACTTGTTATTGTCCCGATACGAATTTTAGCAGACCTATTACTTACCCGATCCAAAATTCAACCCGATCTGTTACTAATCCGACTCGAAATTAACACGTCTAGCTTGTTATTGACTCGACCTAAATTCAACCCAAATTGTTCCCGACCCGATTTCAAATCACCTTAATGCAATTTAGACCAACTTATTATTGTTGATTAAAGCATTTTGTCTAGGGAGACCAAGTCGGTCCATGCTTGCAAAAGAAAGGAGCATCATCCTCAAATTTAAGTGTTAAATATAGTATATATTTGTTGTATGGTCAAAGGATATAATTATCTTCCTAAATTATAGAATATAGTTCCCTAGTATATTGTCACATATATTATAGTCAAAGAAAATAATTAGCTTGATAAAAATAATAATTATCTAATTGTAGTTAGTTAAACTCGAATATGACCCCACTTGGAAATGACCTGACCTGATTATAACCTGGAAATTATTGACTTGAACATAACTCGACTTGAATTCGAGAATGACCCGACTTGAAAATGACCCGATTTGAAAATGACCCAACTTGATTATAACCCGCAAATTATTGACTTGAACTAAACCCGACTTAAACTCGAGAATGACTCGACTTGAAAATGACCCTACCTGATTATAATCCGCAAATTATTGACTTGACTTGAACCGAACCTCTTTCTCATAAAAAAAAATGCAAAAACTTTTTGTAAGAAATTAAACAATTTAGCTCGCTCTATTTACCAATGTTGACCAGCCTATTCCGGTATTGACTTGGGTTATTCGGGGAAAGAGAGGTAATAGGGTGGAAATAGTAACAAATAAGGTCACATGATTTGCACACCCCAAATCAATGCTGCAAATAGGTTGGTCAACGTTGGAATGTGGAGTTAGGTTGTCTCTTACAAAAAAAAATTACATTAAGGTTTTAGTTTGTAAAAAAAAAATAAAAGGTTTTTTTTTATTTTTTTATTTTTTGTGACAAAAAAGTTGCTTTAAAAGACTTTTTTGGGCAAAATTTATATCAAAAAAATTATTACATATTAAATAAGGAGAAAGTGTTTTTTTTACAATGGGAAAAAAATGTTTCAATCCTAAATAATAATAGTATAATAAAGTATTAAAAGGATTTTTTTCTTTTATTTTACCACCCAAAAATAACCCATTTTTAAAAATTAGAATTTTTTTAGAAAATAACTCCACAAAAAACACAAAATTTTGATTATACCACCACAAATTTTCAAAGTTTTACTATAAGACCACTTAAAAAAATTAAAATTTTCATATCAGAAGTCTAGAATTAATGGGCACTTAAAAAAAACAGAGGGAGTATGATCATTGATGAAATTTTTTTGTCTTTGTTTTATATTTGGTTCTTTGATCATAAGGACTGTACTAATAATTGTGCTACAACTCTTATTGTCTTTACAAACATCTAAGATAAAATGTAAGTACAAGGATCAATTGATTAATCTTAACGATAAATTTTGTGTAAGGCATGTGTACCGTGTACGTTAATTTTATTGTAAGACGGTTCGTTTGAGAATAACTTTAACTATTTTTATGGTAAATTTAACCCCTTAAACAGGTTTTTCATTTGTCGTTGGTTTGAATTTACTTTAATTTTAATGTATCTACTATGTAATTACTCGTTACTCATATAAGACAAAAGAAGTATATTGCTGAATTTTGTAAGATAAAATGTGATTTGATTGACCTTCTTAATTGAATGAGTCATTAGTGCAAGTTTAGCCCCAAGTCTTAAGACTTGGGGTGACATCATCAAATTGAGTCTTAAGATTTGTACTTAAGATTTTTCCTATTTTTCTTCAAAAATCTCAATCAAAAATCTCAAGTTGAGTCTTGAAATTGGGACCCACTTCACTTTTATTTTTATTATCCTTTTTTTTTAACACTTTTCTGCATATAATATGTCAAATATTTAAGTCTTAGGGTTAAAGTGATAAATTTGTCTAAGTGTTAGTGAGTCTTAACAAGAATTTGTTGACATCATTTTCAATGGGGACCACCAAAAATGATGTCACATCCAAGTCTTAAGACTTGAGGCTAAACTTGCTCTTAGTCCCACGCTACAATATTTTTATGCAACTAGACATTGCATTAACATTATTAATTAGTTATAATTATAAATGTATGTACATATTATTCTAGATTTCACGAGTATATACAAGTAGGTTAAATTTGTCTAAATTTTCGGGTTTTTGTATGAATGCTATACTTAAATAATACATAATCACATTTTTAAAATATAAAACAATCCATTGCATGCATTTGTTATCGTTGAATCACTTGAATGGGTAAGCTATGTTATAACTATGGATTGCTGTTTTGTCCCATGCATAATTTCCAGCGTTATTTCGTTGTCAAGTCTCTTCCAAAAGTAACTGGCCACATATTATTACATACTTATATTATATCTACTCATTAGTCATTAGTCAACTCTTATCACTGAAAACTCTAAATAGGAAAATGTAACATTCAATCAAAAGTACTACAGTAATACTATAGACTTTTAATAACACTTTAGCCAAGTTTCTCTCTAACCCTTGTTAATTTGACAAATGCATGCATGCACATGCATGCCATGTGAGTACATACATACAAATACAGGGAAAAGACAATAGCCAAAAAAAAAAAAAAAACAGTCACCACTAGCGCTAGTAATATGAAATTAGCTGTCACATTACCAGTTTAAAAATACATTATCAAACGTGACTATTAATTCCAGACTAATGCATCGGAGTATGTTCGTTCTAAAGTCATTTCATACAATAGAAAGATTGTCCTTGAGAGAGGACTTGTCTTTTATAGGAAAGAGCTCCAAGGTTTTGAGGGGTCTTCTAGAGGAATGCTCATCATCATCATCATGGTCATGATTACCATGATGATTATAATCTCCTGATCTCATCGCCATCATCATCCAATCATCATGATCATGATCATGATTTGTTATCATTGGCTTCATTATTTGCTTTGCATTTTCCCTTCCATACTTTGCATTATCCGAAGTCTGCATATTCCAACTTGTGTATGTATTCTCCATCCGTGGGACTATTACATCTTCTACTCGTGTCTACATTTACGTCACCCAAAAAAAAAATTAATAGAGAAAAGAAGAGAGCATATCTAAGGTCTTAAGCATATAAAAGTACAAGTAAATTATTATTTCAAATCATTTAAAAATTTAACTGACTTTTAACTATTTGAACTATTTGTTTAATTCGTAATTTTATTTCAAATAAAAATTTATTTGAACATTTATATTTTTTATTGACAATTAGTTAAAACATAATTGATATTTTAAAAGTATATATTCAGATAAATCCAAAAAAATATCTCATCATAATATAGCTTTCTTATACATAGATGGGAATTATTCATAGTCAAATTAAGTTGAGGAAGTTTGACTTCGAAAATAAATCCAACAAACAACATGGTAGGGTTTCTTCTTCTTTTGATTTTGTTTTTTTTTTTTTAAAAAAAAATTGAAATAGTTTGATGGATGTATAAAAGGAAAAATACTGTTGTTGCAACTCAAGTTATTAGATCTGCCCCTAAAAGGTGAACTCTTGTCATCAATCATGTCTAACTTAACGACCCTAAGAGAATCTAATATATTAATCTAGTAAAGAATCTTGTTAGTTAATATAAACCCGGAGAGAATATTCCGTCCTCAGCTTCCTCTTAATTACGTACTTCAATCATTTTAAGAAATGTATTATTCTTACTTAGTACTATGATCCGTAATTATGAGTACCTATTTTTAATAATTTAGATCCGGTGAAACAAATCTAAGCATTGTATATCAGTATATGGATCCTTTTACACATATATATTAACTAAAATTCGTTAAAAAAAAAAAAAAAAAAAAAAAAAAAAATAAAATTGATAGGTAATACATGAATTATGTCTTTTTTTAGTTCTACCGTAAGCTCGCTACTAGACATCTTGCTTATTAGTTTAAATTTAAGTACGTGTACATAAAACCAAAATCATTATTAATTGACAAATAAAATTAATTGATTATAGACTTGAATAATGCATAAATTACCTGATGATGAGCACCAAAGCAAGGAGAGTTGACAGGAGGAAGCTGATGATGGAATAACCCTAGAGAAGACGATGTCGGACCGCAACAAGGTAGTGGTGGTGGAGGAGGAGGTGGTAGAGGTAGAGGTGGTTGATCAAATTGAAGATGATGGAGTAAATTACTATGATGATGTTGTTGAAAATGTTGATGATGATCAAAAGAAGGAAAAACATGATGATGTGAAAACATAAAATGTTGTTGTTGAAGTTGTTTACCAAGAAGTTTTTTCCTAAGTTTTTGCCTATCTCTAGCCTTATGATTTTGAAACCAATAGAAAACATTTTTACCTTCAATTTTACCATAAAGAGAAAGATGGGCAGTAATTTGTTGTATTTGAGATGCATTTGGAGTTCTAACACCACTTCTATACATCTCCTCTAATATCATCACTTGTTCTGGTGTTGGACACCATCTTGTTGAGGCTGCTGGTGACATTTTTTTCTAATTTTTTTTTTTTTTTTTGAGGGGTTGTTTTCTTTGTTTTTTGTGGCTTCTAATAATATTGATGTCTTTAAATTTGCCCTATTGGTGAGGTGTTGGAAAGAGATAGACAAGAAGAGGGCTATAAATAGATGGGAAAAGGGGGTAGCACAATAGGGAGCAAAAGGAAAAAAAAAAGTATGAAATAAATGGTATAGTTAATATTAAAGTGACAAAAGGATGCAATAAAAGTTTTTGGAAATAAATGTGTGGAGGGGGGAATTGAAGGAGGGTGGTTTGATTTTTTATGTCATTTTGGGAGTTGTGTTCACTTTTAAATATAATCAAAATTATTGTGGGATTAATAATAATGTTTGTTGTAGCTATAGATAATTAAGTTTAGATGTATTGAGACTATAATCCATAAATAGGAGATAACAACTTATTTATTGACTCGTATTTTATATCTTAAAATAATTGAATTAAATTAGGGTACATTATTGAAAATTTGAAATACTCGTATAACCTTCCTTCAAAATTATTAAAGATATATGTCAAGTTAGTTTACAACCTTTTTTTTCTTTTCGAAACCAGTTTACAACAAATTTATATATTGAGTATCCCAATCTTTACAATAATCAATAAGGCAATTGTGTTAATGATTAAAGGAATATTGTATATGAAAAGGATTAAATCCTCTCTAGGGCGGCACTACTAGATGTAGTTTCTTAATCGGTGAAATTTCATTTATTAAAAGTCCAAAAATAAAGAAGGTTTTGTGTGAGACTGTTTCACGTGAGTCCGGTTATGATGCACATACTCATCCTTACCCACTGCCACTACCTAGCCACTTGTAGGTGGCCGGCGACCACACTCATTTTTTTTTGTATGATCGGACTCATGTGAGTCCGTTCTATACAAAACTTTTACTTCTTATTAATTTAACTAGAAAGAAAACACTCCTTCGTGAAAAGTTACTACGTAGTTGATCGAATTACTTACATAATTATATTATATGGAATACTTTGTGTACACAATATTTTATTATTTGTCATAAAGATAAATATGTATGGACTTTTTTAATTTCTTAGCTCACCTAATATAATTAAAAAAAAAATATTATGATATTTAAAAAAAAAAGACTACACAACATAACTTATAACTAATGGAGGCATGAATTGAAATGCATTATTATTCATGATTAGAGGACATAATAATGCACAAGTAATTGGCCTTTGGAGAATAATTAATTAGTATATCAATAAGTAGTACTATATTATTACACAAACTAATTAGTACTACTATTAGTCTATTACACAAACTAAGATTATTTCTTAATAAAGGAAAGATATAAAGTAGTAAGAGGTTGATTAGGGTTTTTTTAATAAAAAAAGAAAAAGAAAAAAGGGAAGGACATGAATAGTACAAGGAAAAAGATGCAGAGTGTGAAGTTGATGTTTCCAATCAAGGATGCATTCAGTATTATGTCTTCAGGAAGAGAAGGGACAGAATGAGGAATTGCAATGTGTGGTTGAGATATTAATGATTTCGTCATTATTACCTTGTTATTAATTATATCCTTCTTTTTTTTTTTAATTTTATAGTATGATAAAATAAATAAATATATATATATATATATATATATATATATATATATATATATATATATATATATATATATATATATATATATTTTAACTCCAACTAGTTTCTAGTTTTGTTTTATGGATGGGATGCTTGGATTGTCATAAAGCAAAATAGAATGATTGTTGTTAAGAGTACCCACAGAGAGCCAGAACCCCATGCTGATTCACATCTCTTTCTGCTTACACACCCACCAATTCATACATATTGTTATTTTTGAGATTTTTATTTTGGATTTTCTTCATTCTAGTACACTATGTAGTAGAATATATACTAATTAACTAGAATTTATCCAAATTGAACCACCCATAATTATATTTAAATGGGGTTCGCTTTAGTTAAATTACAAGAAAATTATTGTAACAAATTAAAGGCTGTAATTTAATCCGTGAAATTATCTATTAATTTGAGAAGATCATCACATAAACCTGATTATCCAAGGTTATCCCGACATCATGAAATGATAACCAACATTTCTTGATTTCTTGTAGGTATGCATGATTATATGTTCGAAAGCTAAGTCCTATAGTAAACTTATGGACAAAACCATATATGAATTCTTAAGAGTGAGTTATTTGTTGTTTGAATTATTCTTCAAAAAATTGTCTTTATTTTCTACTTAATTTAATTTGCATGTTTATATATTATCATCTTTCTCTTTCATTGTACTCCATTAAAATAAAATAGATCACTACAAATGTCATGTGAATCATGTACATGGTTGAACCATCAAACCATCGTCCCTCGTGAGTGGGGTCTATTATTGCATGAGCTCTCCAATCTTCCTTGTTACATGAAAAAGGCCTTATGATAAGAGTTCTCCATTTTGACCAGATAACAATAAGGTTTTATATATAATATGGTAACTTGATTTTTTTTTTTTTTTTTTTTTTTATATCTTCCTTTTACATTTAAAAAGGTTGACACTACTATACATTGTGCATGACTTCTCATCGCTAGGTTATCTACTTAAACAAAATCATTTAAAGTCAAACTTTTGTCCTTGCTTGCTTGGATCCACATACAAGGGAAATTATATATGCACTTAATTTCGATAATTATATTTGTATGTATTATTATAGTATTTTGTTTTGATAATATTCCTTTTACATCCAATTTATTTGTATTAGTATACTATACCATACATAATAACCACATTATCGAGATTTCACTTTATGTTTTGCTACTCTCTTAATCTCTAAAAGTTCATTTTGATTAAATAGTGATTGTTTTCCAATTTTTTTTATTTTTTATTTATATATTTTTTTTTTTAAAAAAATCGAAACAAAAGTAGCCTTTATAGAATGATAGAGTACAACAGAATTCGTATCATCACAACCGCACAACTATTATTTTTTTCAATCAAAAAATAGATTTTTTATTGCGTCTATCAGAGATTTTGTCATACATTATTGTTCTCGCAATCGTTCAAATAACCTCATTATTGTACTATCCAATCACTACAAGAAACCGCGAACATAGTGAAAGTTCCGAAACAATAAGAGAATGCATCTAAGCTTAATTCAAACCAAGCAAGTAACCAACAAAAAAAATTTATGGCGCACATGTGAGGGAAAGGGGGGTAATATCAGTCTATGTTTTTTAACTCAACCCCCTTGCAACAAGTAAAAAAAAGAAAAAAGTATTGTAGTACATATAGAAATACATATATGTGGTACAATTATGAATGCATTTATAATATAACAAGTAATTTTATAAAAAAAAAAGAGTGACCTGAAAACCTAAAAACTTAATTCCATCGATCAACTATATTTAGAATTCTAAACTAACAAACATTTTGTTGGGTGTCAATTGACGACTGCCAACAACAACTTTTACATATTCTATCACAGTTGGTTAGAAAACGACTTTTCCTAGGCCAAAATAAAATTCTAATTCATTCATAAATGAAGTAAAACTTTATATTATATTTTGGGTTTCCGTTATCATATAAACTTTACCCTTTGTTCATCATATAATTATGAACATGCCTGCAATTTTTAAACTGTCTAGTCATTTTTCATTTGTGTAATTTGTTGCCCCCCTAATTTTTTTAAAAATAAATTTATTAGAATATTAAATATTTAATTAATGAAATTGCAGGGGTTGCGTACGTCATAACTGATGAAAAATAGAGAAGGTGATGAATAGATTGGACTGTTCAGCTTAATTTTGTCTTTCTTTCTCACTGACCCACTTTCTGTGGGAAGCATTCAATTGTGTTTTATGCATCTTTTCTATTCTTTGTCCATTTTCCTAAAGTTTAAGGAGAAAGATCTCATTAAACCGGTATTTCTTATTAATAATCCTAAAAAGTACAATATTAATTAATATATAGGTATATTATTGGATATTTATATATGTATAGTACAACATAAGAGGAGATGTAATAAAATAACATATGAGATACGTTTTTGAGTTAAATATATATTATATATGCATGCATCTTCAAAAGTTAAAATTTAAATTAAAGATTTGGGGCCTGTTCTCATTTACTGAACTGAGGTGAACTGAATTAAACTGAATATTTTATGAGAGAAGGAAATTAAGAACTAAACTGTATATATTATGAGAGAAGGAATTTAGAAATTGAACTGAACTGAAAATAAATTAAAGAGAACAGACTCTTGGTTTCATTCGTGATGTTGCATTGGCTTGATCGATCATCCATAGTAATAAATAAGTGAAATGAATACAGGTTAAGAGAATACATTCTTTGTGAGAGAGCTTAAAAATGGCACAACTACTTGTACAGAGTAGTATAATTTTAACATAAATCTAAACTATAGCCTTGGTATAATCAACTATTTTAGATAAAAATAAGTTAGTTGTAGAGCAATACATAGTTGATAAAGTTTAATTGTGAACTTTTTTCATGTTTGGTGATGACAAATCTATTAATTACGTTTCTTAAAAAAGAACATGCAATGTTTTAGCTATGCTAGATAAATTAACAGGCATTTATATATCGATGAAAAAAAAATATTTTAACTTATTACATCATCAATCAACTTAGGAAAAAGTAAAAAGTCAACAAAAAAGCCGACCTAAATGCATTCACCAAGCAAGGCTAAAGTACATACTTCTATTCACTCAAAATATAAATTATTCAATTCATCACACTCACAAACCCTAGTCCCACAAACTACGAATTTAATATTATAAGGATTACATAAAATTACCTAAACAATACAATGTGATAGAATTGTAGAACAATATCTTTAAAATGGAGGGGGCCTCCTAGTAAATGAAATCAAATCATAAACCAAGAAAAAACAATATTCCAAACATTTCAAAAGTTACTAGAGAGGTGAATACTATGGTGAAAATAATGAAATAATAGTGTTTGAAACACATGCATGTCAAATTAATTGTCAATTCATGTTGGGTTCGTACTTGGGTCGTCTTTTGTTGATGATTATGCTTCTACTCACTACAATGTCAAACTAGGTTAAACAATCCAAGAACTTACTTTTCTACAGTGAGTCAGCTAGACGTTAGACCCCTCTAAATTATTATTATTATTTTTTAAAATATTAGTTTAGAATTTTTTTTCGAAGAGTGATTTCATTAAGTTAAAGTTATCCGATCAGAGTACTTAATTACAATATTATCTCTTATCATCAAAACAAGCAAATCGGTAAAAACCAAAAGCTTCCGTACAAATGACTTACTTTATTATTTATACATCCAGCCATGTTAATTTCACAGCCATAATTTTTTATTTAAAAAAAAAAAAAAAAAAACGCAGATTTATGGTCGTATATTTGAAACAACAAATTTTCATAATTCATTGTCCATTATGAGGATAACCTATATGTCTATGGTATACTACGTGCCACAATTCAAGACAATGCATTCATGCACAATCTATGGTATACTACATGCAGCTAGTGCAGTAAAATAAAATAAAAAAATTATATCGAAAATTGTAAATACTTTTATATATAAACTCTATACTTCAAAACTTATACAAGTTCTACGTAAAATAAGTTTTTTTAACTACTACTCGTACTCCGTAAAACGAAGTATATAGCTAGGAAACTTTCCTCATTTAATAAATGTAGAATCTTTTTCTGAAATCAATAAATGTAGAATTTATATTAGCTTCTTTAGAAGTACTATAAATTTATTTCAATGTATATTAACTTTTTTTTTTATATCATTATATATATTTATTTAAGGAAAATGTTATACATAGCCCTAAGGGCTACATATAAGCATTTAATTTACTCTTGAAAATTGTTTAAATTTAGAAAATCATGACAAAAACACACTAATTACACCGATTTGCGCGTGTTTTGTCATGAATTCCTAACTTTATACATTTTCCAAGAGTAAATTCAATGCTTATATATAGCCCTAAGAGCTATGTATAACCTTTATTTAAAATTTTGCTTTTCAAAAAGTTATATGAAGTACTTCATCATAATGTGCTTTATATATATATATATATATATATATATATATATATATATATATATATATATATATATATATATATATATATATATATATTTTATTTTATTTTTTATGTAGCTAAATGCCTAAAAAACCATACTCATGTATACATACAAGCGAAGGTTTTTCTAATACATGATTAAAACTTTATTATACTCACGATCTCACGTTAGTCACGTAGATACACTCATGACCTTCATAAACCCGTATCATGTACTCCGTATCTTATTATTATTAATTATCGATGGTCATTCTCGTGTAATTAAGGAGATAAGACAAAAAAAATACCCTAAAAACCAAAATTTATCAATAGTAAAGCTTCATTGTTAAAATTGCAATTGGTTGTAAATTCTAATAAAAGCTATAGTATGGGAAAATCATCTGTCAAAAATTCACACTGTAAACTTTAATTTCAACATAGCAGACAATTCTTCCTTTTACACATTTCTGAAAGACTGAAACTCTTCATTCAAGACTTATCTACTTGAAAGATTATTATACATGTCTAGTCATAATATTATGTTAACATAGAAACTACTGCCAAGCTTTTCCACCCATTTTTGGTTATATTTTGTCCACATTTTACTTTTTATAAATAATGCAACCATAAGTCACAAAATTTGAGATGAATAATCATGCATTAATTATTAAGCAATTCCCCCAATAAACTTGATTTGAGGTGACTTGATAAGGTGACAATGACAAAGACAAATCATGGGTAGAGTACTAGGAGCCATTCGTGTTGTCACTAGAATAGTAGAATAAAATATTGTAATACATTCTAAAATTTTTGTTTAATGTCTTTCTCCTTCTATTTTACTTGTAGTTGTAACATTTAGAAAATTACAATATTCATATTTTTCTATTCAACTAACAATGTTGATTTATATGCTGTCAAAATATGAACATGTGATGAAATCTTATTATATTCTTCATAATTGTATAATTTTCACAATATCCAATTTACATATTTTTTTGCTTATTAAAATAGAAAATATAAGGGTTGAAATTATGTATAATACTATTATCGACTGTAAAAGTCGAGATGTTGCAACTAAAAATGATAGAGTATAAAATATATTTCTGGGCCGCTTCAACTATCAGCTTAACTTAGTTGATGGTTGAGGTACATAAATATGTTTTATATTCTATCAAAAAACACAATAAAATGTACTTCCTTCATCCCTTAATTTTAATTATATGCCTATTTTTAAATAGATACGGAGTATATAATTAAGGGACGAAAGAAGTATAATATATCTGATACTCATAAAAATCTAATATAGTTGGGAAAAAAAAAAAGGTTCAACGCCTGTCAGAAAATGAATTTATATTGTAACTAGCTATATAAGTATAGGTAGTAGGCACAAAATGCCAACAATAATTTTCAGTTAAAAACCCTCGATTTCCCCACAAAAAGGGGTTGTTTTGTACATATACTTTGGTTTTAAGTATTACGGAATATAGCTTAAATAGTTGAGGCATGCAATTCTTCCTTTTTGCTGCTGCCGAATTTATATTCATGCTAGCAGATCAATTTATGTTGTTTATGTCCTTGGTTTATAGATATTTAATGTTGTGCATAACTTTTATTTTCTCTTCTTATTAATGAGATTTTATTTTAGATTTTTAGCCTATTCATTAATTAAACAACTATCTTGTTGACATATCGTAGTGGATGTACATGGTTGTTGTTAAGTATGATCAGTTAAGAGTGAAGAAGGAATTAAAGAGAGAGATTGGATCGTGTATGTACATGTCAAAAGTCGAAACCTAAAACGAACTTTAGACAACCCAAGGTATGATCCGAGTACGTGAAATTAATTAAACGTCGTGAAATTTATAGACGTATGTACAATTTTGATAAATGACTCGTGATGTACTAGTAATTATGTTTATGTGTAGATTTAAATAGAAACATTCCTTACGAATTTATGTTTTACATCATTTGTATATTTTTATACCCAAGATTCGAAATATTCTCTATATTGTAATTCTATTAGAAAAAATATTTCTTATGACTAATTAAATATTAAAAACTTTAGTAAAAAATCCTCGATAATATAGAAAACATAGTCATGTAGTCATGTGGATTGTCTTTGATTCTTCTTATGTGTAGCTTTATAATGTCAACATTTTATCATTTTTGATAATACATAAATAAAAATATTGATGGTCGAATATATATCTTGAAAATTATTGAATAAAATAGAAACCAGACATTATATTACGGGACAAATGAATTAAAGTAACAAAAAGTATGTCCCATCTTCTAAAGGAAGCAAAGCTCTATGTCATAATTGATCCGAACCAAAAAGTCCAACATAATGCAGAAGAGCTCATTGATGAAGTACTTCAATTCCCCCTTGCTTGTTCAAACCTAGTACAAGTAAGATACATGATGGGAATTGGGGGAATACTTCATTAAAATTTACTTTTATTATATGTCACCAATTTATGTACCTTTGCATGTTCTTGGAATATGTCACTATTATTTTTTCAGAGTAATCAATCTTGCATCAATGTTATGAGAATTTGTAGTTGGACTTTGAGCAACCAAAGGACATTTAAATTCCCATCCTTCCACCCCCTCCTCCTCCTTTTGCTCTAAGTAATAATCAAACACAGTCTTTTTGCAAGTAGCGATTTACTGTGAATTGTTGATTTACTAATCCGGATATCATTTGGTACTCGGTAGACTTGGGTTAAACCTATTATAGGATGGTTAGAAAATCGCATAATTCGTCTATGATAAGAGCAGCCCACACTTTTTATCATAATCAAACCAAGAGTAAATTGAACTTTGGCCATAAAACTTTTGTGGAATTTTGTTCAAAAGAAACTCCATATTTATTGAAAAGGTTCTCTAAGCATCCTTTTAGTGATGTAAAAATTTACTTTTTACTAATTCTAAATGTCTTGTTCAATGATATATATGTGTATCACTTTTTAATTTGACCTAGAGATAACTTTTCATTCAAATCTTTTCCTAAAAAATAAAAATTAAAATTAAAAAAAAAAAAAACTTTTCATTCTAATCACACCAATTTCTTTTTGGGATTGAATATAGGTTTCAATGAGCAATATTAGATATCATTATCATTTGTGGTCTCATGCTCAATAGGCCCAATATGGATCATGGGCCTGAGGAGTTGGTAATGGGCTTCATAGCAAATTAGGAATCAATCTTGCTTTTATTATACATCATCAACTCATCAATCACATTATGAAATGTGTGCTTTAATTTACTTAAACTATTGAGGTTTCATAAAACTTATACGAGTATCATAAAATACAAAAAGGAAGATGAGATCATCATACACATATTATATACTACCTCCGTTTTGGATATTTTATGTCTCATATATAATACCTCTTTGTTGCACATAATAAGAAACGGAGGTAGTACTTCGTATATCTATATTTAAGGTAGATAGCAAAGTTGAAGCCTATGTTGCATGACCTGTTACTTTACTTGTAACACACTATTTGCAACTCAGTATAAGCTTAATCGAAAACTTTTCTTTTGTGCCTAATCCCAAAACGAGTGACCTCTCTATCACAAAAGTCATAGCCATGCCAGACATGCCTAGGGAGATCACTGCGAAAATAGAAATAATCTGAGTTGAAACGAGCCTCATCCAGAACCCGAACCTGAGCAAAGCCAGGCCGCCAGTTATCAGTTCCTGTCAGCTTCAGATACAAGTAGCAGATGGCTGTATCCACACAGGGTCCATCAACCTGAAAATCATCCACACTGCAAGGTTGAAAGGGTTTCCTCGGCGCATCATCTAAGACACTCTGATCCATTTTATCCACCCATTTTACGTGCCTCCTATTAAGGGGGTGTACTAAAAGGTCGTAGCTTTTCGAGTCTCCAAATCGTAGGCTGATATGATTCGACGTGCCAGCATCTTTGATGCAGCTAGTCTCTATAGTGATTACATAGGTGCAGTTCCCCTGCTAGCCAAAACGGCAAAAGCCAATCATATCAAATATAACCAAAAGAAAACAAACATACATTGATTTAATAGATTTGTTACCTTCATTTGCTGTTCACCTCTTACGAACATCATACTCTGGCAGTCCAAGGAAATTGCAAGTAAAGACAGCAAAGTTACAGCGAAAAATCGCTCATGGATCACCATAATAGCTTAGATGTCCACAGGTTTTGGTGTTCAGTAGTGCAGAAATAAGCTCATGTTGCATTTATACTAGAGAAATCTTTAATTCGAGATTCATTCTTTGCTTCAAAGTATCAAAAAGCTCTAGATTCTATTCCTACAGTTGGGTCTAGTAGCACAATAATATAACGCTATGTATCAATGTAACATAACTTGGTTTGCTTGGATAATACTTATACCAGTACTAATCTCTGACTTTATTAGCATAACTACTACAGTATTACAACAAGTTAATCGATATCTCCCATTGTATACTAGAAAAGATGCGCTTGAAAAGTAAAGCACATTGTAACACAATTGCTGATTAATTCGATCTTTACCTACAGAGTACAGAGTGTTAAATAATTTTGAGAATTTAGACAAAATGACAAGATAATTAATTAATTTACTTAGGCAATGGTGTTGTAAATTAATTAAGTAAGAATATTAAAGCAAAAGGAACAAAAGAACAATGGTGAAAAGAGCAGCTTTCGGTTTGTAAAAGCTGTAATTGCAGACCTCACCTCCACCCGATTTGGGTGTTACTCGCCCGAACGGGCGCGAGAGTGGGTCTGGTAGTCATCTCCGCCGCCCGATCGGGCAGCCACCGCCTTATCGGGCGCGAGAACGATGATAAATTTCGCTGTTTTTCTGCCCGATCGGGCCACCACCGCCCGGTCGGGCCCGAGAGCAACCTTCATTCGTCACCCCGGTCTGCCCGATCGGGCGCCCGCGTGTGTCTGGGTTGATTCTTGAATTGAATTGTGACGGTTACCTTGAATATCAATGGCAGTTTCTTAGTGTCCGTTGGAGTTCATTTGCTTTGGATATAAATATGTTCTTGGGAACATATGTGTCAGATACTTTTAGAAAGAAAAAAAAGCTTGTTTTGATTGGAAATTTTATCAATAACTATCAATTAAAGCATGTGATTTGAAAACAACTACCTAGATATAAAAAGTTTGACTAGCACTACCACTTTAACAATTTTGGCTAAAATCTCCGATATTTGGGTTTCACTTTTTATCACTTTTTACCTTTATGAATGGTAATTTAGTTAATTTAGATGATGATTTTATGAGGTAAAGGTAAAAGGCAGAACCTACATGTCGAATATTCTAGTTGGAATTATTAAAGTGGTAGTGCTACTTAAACTTTTTACAACTTTGTGGTAGTTCTTTTAAAAAAAAAAATTTAATAGGTAGTTGTTTTCAACACGCACTTTATTTGGTAGTTTTTTTGACAAAATTTCCTATTTTCTTTCTTGAAATACAATTGCAAGATTAAATTATTCATTATCATATTTTACCAAATTTTGTTTTACATTTGACCACAAATATACTACACACTATTGTGGTTGTCTTCGTTGTATCTCCTGGTAATTTCGTGATACCCAGTGTGTTTAATCAGGGTCGAAATATTACTTTGGGAAACTGATTTTGTTCAGGCCTCGAAGTGAAATTTGTTCAAGTTCGTTGCGATTTTTGTGACCCGGTAATCATTTTCTCCAACACAGAGTATATATCATCTGCAAGACTGCAACTATTTGCTTCAAACATAAGCAAATACTTTGTATACACGACTAATGTCGGATCAATTAAGAGATGGATCCAGAAACGTAAGGATAGAGGTTCAGTTAGGATCGTCCTTACCATTTAAAGGGTCATAATAAAACAAGACTATCAAGAGGTGCAGCCTGTTTTATCCTTACAAAACCAAAACTCAACCAAAACTCAACCACACATGTTTAATATGAATTGATATAATGAAACAATACAAAAGCATCACTGCAAATGATACCAAAATTCAGACAATAATGAAAAGATGAACTAAAATTAAAATCAAGAAATTAAACAAACTAATAAAAGAATCATACAATGGATCATCAAAACATTTGATGCGGCATTTGGCCAAGTTGAGCAACAATTTGCGCAACCAAAGCATGATCCAAGGTTCGAGGTGTTTGGGTCCAATTTAGTCCAATTGGGCCTGGTCACTGAATGATCCAATTAAAAGCCCAAGGTTAAGGTTCAACTCTCCAAATGTGCTAAAGTCAAAAATCAACATCCTCAAAGCCATGTCAAGGTCAGTCAACGGCCCAATCAGCTTGGCCCAGCCCAACTGACTTCCGGGCCCAATCCGCCTCCTTCATTAGCCAAGGTATAAAAGCCAACAATTTGGTCAATTCTTGGTAAGACAATAAAGCCTCAAGCAACTAAACTCTTGCACAGCTTTCTCTCTCTAATATACTGACTTAAGCATCGGAGGGGCCTTCCTCGGCGTCCCCCCCGAGGCTAGTTTACGTGTATTTGTTGTGCAGGAAACCCTCGGCTCCTGCGTCGTTCGGACCGAGACCAAGTTCCCTCAAGATAAAAGGATCTTCCGAGATTCGATTGTTTTCATCCGAAACAATTTGGCGCCGTCTGTGGGGAACGCTACTAAATTTCGCGTCAGTCATCAAACACTCCGGCAGTCGCCATGACTAAGAGTGGAAAGAGTTCCAAGAAGGCTAAGAAGGGAGGAGGCCGGATTACGGTGAGGGAACGCCAGCCGGTTTATCCCTCCCCGGAGCAAGCCTCTTCCGAATCGGAGGCCCCCATTTCTCCGGAAAGGGAAGCCTCAAGAGGTCCTAGCCTCCAGGAGGAGAACACCTCGCACCACACTCGGCAGCCGGGGCCATCCCCGAGACCGAGTGGCTCAGGTGCGAGGAACTCCCCGCCGCGCCATAGCGTGCAATCCAGGTCACATCCGCGGGAGACTCCTCCCTCCGGACCCTCCACCGAGGAAGTGGCCAGAGCAGTGGCCATCTGCATGGAGTTCCTTAAAGCTCAAGGGGCTCCAATCCAGATGCCTGATGATCACCAGCCGAGAAACCTGAAAAGGAGGATCGGTCAGGATGATGGTGGACAAGTTCCACCACATAGAGAGCTCGGCCAGAGGTGGCGAGGGGACACCCGAAACTCCAGTAAGGAGAGGAGGAGGAACCCTCAACCCTCTGACCACTCTGAAGCTCAGAATTCCATGGGGCCCTCCAAGGACCCGGAATTCGCCCGCCAAAGCGTTCACGAACGCTTGGGTTCGAGGGAGGTGAGTGTGCATAGCCGCCTCACCTTCCCAGAGGATACCGGACCCCACCCAACCTTGTCTCAGCCGGGGACGAAAACCACTTCCACCTCTGAGAGAGGAGGGAGCGAGGTCCCTGAGGCCGGGTACAAGGGGAAGGCGGTCATGGTTCCATCGAACTCGCCCTTCCAGAAGTGGATTCTGGAAGAGCATGTGCCAACGGTCAAAATCCCGGCACATATTACTTACGATGGTACCTCAGATCCTAAGGATCACATTGCCTCTTACGAGGGGCACATGTATCTGAACCCGAGGTCTGAGGCTACCTGGTGTAAATACTTTCCTACGACCCTCAAAGGTGTTGCCCAATCCTGGATCACCAAAGGGCTCAAGGAAGGCTCCATAACCGGTTGGAACGACCTCTCCAACAAGTTCAAGAGCAAATTCTCTACGGCCAACCGCCGAGAGAAGACCACTGCAGAGCTAATGAGTCTGCAGCAGGCGGAGGACGAGAGCCTCCGCGACTATCTGACTCGCTTCAGCAACGAGTCATCCGGAATCACAAGCCTGGATCAAGGCCTGGCCGTGTTCGCGCTACGAAACGGCCTCCAAGCTGGAAAGTTCCTGGACTTCATGGTCATGCATCCCCCGCAGACCCTGGAGGAAGCCTTGGAAGCATCGGATAGGTTCATCCGAGCCGAGGAGTGGAACAGATCCAGGTCTCAGTCTCGTCCGAGAATTGAGAAGCCGAAAGGGCAGCAGCCCGAAGTCTCGGCGCAGAGGAAAGGGAAGGCTAAGGCCTCAGAACCGTCCTCTGCTGCCGAGCCGAAGAAGGAAAGACACTTTCCCTACACGGGAAGGTACGATTCATACACTCCACTCTCCCTTCCCCGTGCTAAGATTTTCAGCACGACGAAGGACGAGGGGAGATTCAAAAAACCTCGTCCGTTGCCTCCCTGGCATCAGACGAGGGGAAAGGACCAGTGGTGCGAGTTCCATGACTCACCCGGACATCGCACCGAGGACTGCGTCCAGCTGAAGGACCAGATTGAGGATCTGGTCCGCAAGGGGTACCTGAGCCAATACCTCGCGGACAGGCGCGAGGAGAAAAAAGCTGAAAAAGATTCTCGGCAGGACCTCAACTTCGCTCGGAAGAAGGATAAGGGACCTCAGGGCAAGGAGTCCCTCGACATCCTGGTTATTTCCGGGGGAATCTCGCGAGGCACAGCCAAACGCCAACTGAGGGGTCTAACCCATCAGATTCATCAGGCTGAGCTTCGGCAGTCCCAGTCACCGGCGCCGAACATCCTGTTCACAGCCGAAGACTGTGAGGGGGTGGTATACCCCCACGATGACCCACTAGTAATCATTCTGGGCATCGCCAACCGCAACGTCTGGCGGACCCTCGTCGACGGCGGTAGCGGGGCGAACATCCTCTTCCGAGGAGCGTTCGACCAGCTGAGGATGGGAGCCGAGCACCTGGCCCCCGCACCCTACCCGGTGTCTGGATTCAACGGCTCTTCCTCGTATCCTGACGGGAAGATTACACTTCCTGTCACCATCGGCGAAGGCCGAGCAGCTAGGAATATCATGGCCGAATTTTTGGTCGTAGATGCTCCATCTGCATACAACGTGATCATGGGGAGACCCCTCATTCACGGCATTCAAGGAGTCGTCTCCACGTATCATCAAATCATGATATACGTTTCAGACGAGGGACGCTCCGAGAAAATAAAGGGCAGTCAAAAAGAAGCCCGCCGATGCAATCACCTCAAGCCATCCACGTCTCGCCGAGGCGACCGTGGCGATGGGGAGGAAAAGCACCGGGACCGAAACGCCAAAAAGCCGAGAGGCTCAGACGTTTCGGCTAATGAAGCCCCAGACAACGAGAAATCTGATGGGGGCCAAAAGGCTGACTCCGCCTCAGAGCCGAACGACTCTGATGGCCAGCCGCGGTCAGGAAAGTCTGCTAATATTGATAGCAGGCCGGAATTCGAGGAATCCAACTCTAAGAGCATGGAAACGGATGACCTGACCGAGTCAATAGAACTGACCGTAGGAGATCCGAACAGATGTGTTAGCATCGGGTCGTCACTGGAGCCAAACACCCGTGCGGCACTCGTCCAACTCCTACGGGCCAGTGGAGACGTGTTCGCCTTCTCAGCCGCAGAAATGCCCGGGATTGATCCGGACTTCGTCTCCCATAGGCTTAATGTCGACCCCTCCAGTCGACCCATTAAGCAGAAAAAGCGGAACTACTCCGCCGAAAAGAACCAGAACATCGCAGCTGAGGTCGATAAGCTCCTAGATGCTGGGTTCATTGAACCCTGTCAGTATCCGGAGTGGCTGGCCAATGTTGTAATGGTTCAGAAGGCAAATGGTAACTGGAGGATGTGCGTTGACTTCACGGACCTGAATAGGGCATGTCCCAAGGACTCCTATCCGCTGCCGAGGATCGACCAACTGGTCGACTCGACAAGCGGGCATGCTCTGCTCAGTTTCATGGACGCATTCTCGGGATACCATCAGATCTTCATGCACCCCGAGGACCGAGCTAAAACAGCGTTCATAACAAGTTCCGGGTTGTACAATTACAGAATGATGCCCTTCGGATTGAAAAATGCGGGGGCAACATATCAGAGGTTGGTTGATCAGGTTTTCGCCGAGCAAAAAGGCCGAAACATGGAGGTTTATGTTGACGACTCAATCGTCAAAAGCATAAAAGAAAAAGATCATGTCACGGACCTAGCCGAAACCTTCGCCACCCTCAGAAA